TTTATGTTGCCTTACATAAACTTGGCTGCAGTAAGAGGATTATGTGAGCATAAATGAGGCAACTCCCTCTTAAATTTTCAAATACCCAGAAATTCTTGGGAAGGAGGAGGAGTAGCAACAATCTTTCAGTGTGGCTTACTGATTAATCCAGAGTCAGTTGATAATTTCAACTCTTTTGAATATTTAATCCTGAGTTTCCCTCATCCAAATTGCAAAGCCAGAAAACCTCTTCTTTTTGTAACTTTGTATCGCCCATCAGGTCCTTACTCTGAACTTTAAGATGAGTTTTCAGAGTTCCTTTCTGATTTGGTGTTAAATACTGACAGGCTCATCATAGTGGGAGATTTTAACATCCATGTTGACATTGAAGGCGATAGCTTAAGAGCAGCCTTTAATGCTATCTTAGACACTGTTGGCTTTGTTCAAAATGTGAATAGTCTCACACATTCTCATCTTCATACTTTGGACCTTGTGCTGACATATGGCATAGAATGTGAAGAAATATAAGTATTTCCTCACAACCCTGTCCTCTCTGACCACTTTTTAAGAACATTGAGGATTACTTTAAATTTGATTCAGTTTATTTATATGAAGCCAATTCACAAGACATGTCATCTCAAGGCACTTTACAGTTCAACCATTCAGAAGGAGAAAGTTAAGTCATCCAGGTTTTTATGTCTTTGAGGTATGCCTGTAATCTATATAATGGATTAGCTTCATCTGGATTTATAGACATACTGTATATAGCTGGGTATCATCAGCATAATAGTGGAAACTAATCCCATGCTGTCTAATAATTCTACCGATTGGGAGCATATATAAAGTAAACAGAATTGGTCCTAGCACTGATCCCTGTGGTACTCCACAGGTTACCTTTGAGCATGAGGAAGATTTGTCATTAACGTGAACAAACTGAAATCGATCAGATAGATACGATTTAAACCAGTTTAGACCTATGTTCCTTTAATTTCTACAAAATATTATAATCAACTGTATCAAATACAGCACTGAGATCCAACAGGACAAGTACAGATACAAGTCCATTATCTGAGGCCATGAGAATATCATTAGTGACTTTCACCAGAGCTGTTTCAGTGCTATGATGAGCTTTAAAGCCTGACGGAAACCGCAGCAGACCAAACCAGACGAAAGTGCGCATTCAGCTCGGCAAAGAACTCATGCTCTTCCTCAACACTGAAGTCCTCAGACATTTTTCTTTCGTTGTTTCTTTCTTTGCACAGGTAAACAGCACATTTCTTCTTCTACGCTTCCATTATCGGCAGAGCAGACGCTGAATGCGCACTTTCATCTGGTTTGGTCTGCCGCGGTTTCCGTAGACTCGTGAACGCGCTTTTAGGAAATCCTATACACTACTGTTTATGCTCTAAAAACATTCTAAATGACTTCGTTTCGAGTAAATTCTGGATGCTACCCACTCAGGACACTTGGAATACATTGGACGACCAGTATGGAGGAACATTGACACGTTTTTTGTGGACTTTTATGGACCTTTCTGCCTCGGGCGCCATAGACCTCCATTATTTGAATGTCAGCAGACAGCAAGAAGCCTTCCAGATCTCCAGATGCATTTGAGATATCAAAAAAGTACTCCAGAGTGTTGTTCAGCATGGGGGTGAGTAGAAAAAGAAGGCTAATCATGTTTTGGGTGTACTATTCCTTTAAAGTACACTTCAAAAACAATCCAGAAATAAGTAAAAAATGACTTAAATTATGTATATTTAGCCTTAATTTGAGCAGGTAAATACAGGTGCTGGTCATAAAATTAGAATATCATGAAAAAGTAGATTGATTTCAGTAATTCCATTTAAAAAGTGAAACTTGTATATTATATTCATACATTACATACAAACTCATATATTTCAGATGTTTATTTTGTTTAATTTTGATGATTACAAATGACAACAAATGAAAATCTCAAATTCATCATATCAGAAAATTAGAATATTGTGAAAAGGTTCAAAATTGATGGCCCCTGGTGCCACACTCTAATCAGCTAATTAACTCAAACCACCTGCAAAAGCCTTTAAATGGTCTTTCAGTGTAGTTCTATAGGCTACACAATCATGGGGAAGACTGCTGACTTGACAGTTGTCCAAAAGACGACCATCGACACCTTGCACAAGGAGGGCAAGACACAAAAGGTCATCGCTAAAGAGGCTGGCTGTTCACAGAGCTCAGTGTCCAAGCACATTAATAGAGAGGCGAAGGGAAGGAAAAGATGTGGTCGAAAAAAGTGTACAAGCAAGAGAGATAACCGCACCCTGGAGAGGATTGTGAAACAAAACCCCTTCAAAAATGTGGGGGAGATTCACAAAGAGTGGACTGCAGCTGGAGTGAGTGCTTCAAGAACCACCACACACAGACGTATGAAAGACATGGGTTTCTGCTGTCGCATTCCTTGTGTCAAGCCACTCTTGAACCACAGACAGCGTCAGAAGCGTCTTGCCTGGGCTAAAGAGAAACAGGACTGGACTGCTGGTGAGTGGTCCAAAGTCATGTTCTCTGATGAAAGTAAATTTTGCATTTCCTTTGGAAATCAAGGTCCCAGAGTCTGGAGGAAAAGAAGAGAGGCACTTCATCCACGTTGCTTGAAGTCCAGTGTAAAGTTTCCACAGTCAGTGATGGTTTGGGGTGCCATGTCATCTGCTGGTGTTGGTCCATTGTGTTTTCTGAGGTCCAGGGTCAACGCAGCCACATACCAGGAAGTTTTAGAGCACTTCATGCTTCCTGCAGCTGACCAACTTTTTGGAGATGCAGATTTCATTTTCCAACAGGACTTGGCACCTGCACACAGTGCCAAAGCTACCAGTACCTGGTTGAAGGACCATGGTATCCCTGTTCTTAATTGGCCAGCAAACTCTCCTGACCTTAACCCCATAGAAAATCTATGGGGTATTGTGAAGAAGAAGATGCAATACACCAGACCCAACAATTCAGAAGAGCTAAAAGCCACTATTAGAGCAACCTGGGCTATCATAACACCTGAGCAGTGCCACAGACTGATCGACTCCATGCCACGCCGCATTGCTGCAGTAATACAGGCCAAAGGAGGCCCAACTAAATACTGAGTGCTGTACATGCTCATACTTTTCATGTTCATACTTTTCAGTTGGCCAACATTTCTATAAATCCTTTGTTTTTATTGGTCTTCAGTAATATTCTAATTTTCTGATATGATGAATTTGAGATTTTCATTTGTTGTCATTTGTAATCATCAAAATTAAACAAAATAAACATCTGAAATATATGAGTTTGTATGTAATGTATGAATATAATATACAAGTTTCACTTTTTAAATGGAATTACTGAAATCAATCTACTTTTTCATGATATTCTAATTTTATGACCAGCACCTGTAAGATGATTTGCCAATGGAATGAGTATTTTTACTCTTAAAATAAGATAGTTAGATAATATTTACTTTTTTCTGACTGGATGCGCTCTCTTCATCCTCTGACAGAAGTTATAGTCTTTGGACCAGAGTCTTTGAAAAATAAACTGATTAGTCGATAATTTCAGTTTGATGGGATTAAACTGATTTCAGATAATAAATTTAAAAATCTTGGTGTTTTTTTTTATCAGGACCTGTCATTTCAATCCCATATCAAAGAGGTTTCTAGAGTTTCCTTCTTTCATCTGAGGAATATTGCAAACATTAGAAATCTCCTGTCCAGGGTGATGCTGAGAAAGTAGTCCATGCATTTGTTACTTCAAGGCGGGACTAATGTAATTCTTTACTATCAGGAAGTCCACAAACTGTAGTTAAAAGCCTTCAGCTGATCCAAAATGCTGCAGCCAGAGTTCTGATGAAAATGAAAAAGAGAGATCATATCTCTCCTATCCTGGCTTCTCTTCATTGGCTTCCTGTTAAATCCAGAATAGAATTTAAAATCCTCCTTCTCACATATAAAGCCTTAAATGGCAAAGCTCCATCTGATATCAGAGATCTGATTGTTCCTTATGTTCCTAACAGAGCACTTCACTCTCAATCTGCAGGTTTACTAGTGGTTCCTAGAATTTCTAAAAGTAGAATGAGAGGCAGATCTTTTAGTTATCAGGCTCCTCTCCTGTGGAACCAACTACCAGTTTTAGTCCGTGAGGCAGACACCCTGTCTACTTTTAAGGCTAGGCTTAAAACTTTCATTTTTGATAACGCTTATAGTTAGAGTGGCTCAGGTTATCCTGAGCTATCTCTATAGTTATGCTGCTATAGGCTTAGACTGCTGGAGGACATAGGGACCCCCATTTCATCATTCTGATTCATTCTATCTCTATTCTCCCACTCTGCAGAATCTATTAGTTCAATCTCTAACGTTCTGCTCTCTCTGCTTTTTCTCATCTTCATCTGGTCTGTTCCTGTTTGGCTGTGACTCCATCCTGGAGAGAAATATCAGCTGTGCTGCTTCCATCAACACCCTTGTTTATAGATTCTGGAGTTTGGCCTTTTTTTCAGTGTAGTCCTGTTTCTCTTACTGTGACTGGCTGGATTTGCTCTTTTCAGCCTCTGACATGGGAGCTGGCTCGGAGTTCATCTGCCTGGCTGTGTGTTTCCTGGACCCTTTTACAGTTGCTTTTTGCATCTCTGCTTCTGTCTCCTTGAACCCCAGTCGGCCTCAGCAGATGGCCGCTCACGCTGAGCCTGGTTCTGCTGGAGGTTTCTTCCTCTTAAAAGGAAGTTTTCCACTGTCGCATCAAGCCTGCTTGGTGTGAGGGATTGAATTTGAGTCAATGGGTGTGTTCGATTTCAGAGGCTGCTCAGGGAGACACAGAGGAGAGATGGAGATGTCAGGGGGACATGGGAATGGAAGGAGACATTTTGAAATGTTGTAAGAAATAAAAATGGAGGTGAGGGTTTAGAGGAAAAGAAAGCAATTGTGAGTTTTAAACATAAACATCGACGAGGTTCCTTTAAAGCAGGCAGGACTGTTTGGCTCCTTCCTGGTTCTGTTGATTAGAACCACGTGATCTAAGATCATCAGAACCAGGTTCTGATGATGTTTGGTGGGAAACTTGATGAGAAGATTCTGTTTTCCTCTCAAGCCCCTTTGGCTTCAGTCTGTGGACATGTGTGTTCCGGAAATAACTCCACCAGGAGGAGGAGGGGAGGAGGTCTGGACCTCTTTCTGACGGTCCGAACCGCAGCTGAAAACTTTTCAAAAGTTCAGAGGAAGAGTCCGCCTGTGAAACCTGAGCTGCTGCTCCTCCTGCTGCTGCTGGAGTCTAAGTGGAACCAGATGGTGAAGCCTGTTTTCTCCAGCCTCCAGCCTCCTCATTCTCACACCAAGCGCTCCTGTTTGCGGGATGGAGATGAAGAGGAGCGCGGTGAAGTGAAGCCGCTCCTCATGCGGCGCCTCCTCAGGATGCTGCTCCGGCGGCGCGCGTGCGCGGGTCCGCTGCTGCTGCTGCTCGCGCTGCTCTGCTTCTGCTACCAGACGCTGATGGTGGACCGGAACCAGAACCGGAGCGAGGCGGAGGAGGTTCCGACGGAGACCAGGAGGCTGGTCTCCGCTCTGGAGGCTCTGCAGGAGGAGACGCAGGTGAGGCTCACCTGAAGTGCGCCTGCGCGTTCATGAGCTGCGGGCTGAATCTGAAGGTAACGGTCTGACCCGCAGAGGCGGAGCTAGAAAGTCTTTATAAGGGGGGCCAGGCAATAAGCAATGCGCACTGAGGGGGGGGGCGAGAGTGGAGCCAGAACCTCAGGGTCAAGAATGATCCAACAGGAATATTAACAAGCAAAACATCCAGATTTTCTAAATAAAGACAAATTATACTTTCCTACAGCCTTTGCTAAACAAAGAAACTCATATATTTACACCCGTAATTTCTAAATAAAAGGTATAGTGGATAAAACTTTCATTTTTGGGTTCTGGGGCGTAAATCTGTTCCATTGTCATTACTTACCTACTTTGTATCAATAAAAATTTTGCATAAAATTGATATTTACATGTACTAATATCTACATAAATTTATTTTTTTATAAGTTTTAATTAAAATTGTTATTTATCTATGAATTTACTGGACTCCTAGATTACTTGCAGAGACATATGATTTTCTATTTACCCCATAAAACACTAAATCTAGCTCTGAAAAGAGCATGAATTCTGTATTTATCATCTTTGATGTTAGTTTATTAATGTGCAGAATTCACCACAACAAATTAAAATGTTTTGAATAATCCACTTTAGAGTATTACTGCTGCCACCATCTGTATTAGAGGGAAAACAATCATTGGCCACCCCTGTGGCCAATGATTGTGGCTATGGCCACCCCTGGCCTCCCATCTAGCTCCGCCCCTGCTGATCCGGTCTAGACAAGCTACTTTGGACCCATTGGATCAGTACTTTTTCCTCTTTTCCCTTCAAATGTTTCAGGGAGGTCAGGATTATAAAGAACAGAAATTTTCTGATTTTTATTCGAAATGTTCTTTTTTTAGCATCAATTGCAGATTTCATTGGTTCTGAGTTCTGCTGATGTTCTGACCTTTGACCCTTTCAAACTGGACTTAAATAATCAAAATAATAAGCTAATTATCAAAATAAAGACAACAAAAATCATGATAAAATATAAAAAAAGATGTTTAGCAGCTCTGCTTGTTTCTTTCCTAACAAACAGAACTTTTATCTGATCGGATCTCTGGTTCAGATCCAGAACTCTGAACCATTTAGATCCATTAACGACCCTCATCTGCAGACTTTCTGTTCCAACTTTAATGAGCTAACAGAGAACCTTCTGCTGCTGGCCTGAGGATCACATTCCTGAGAAGACTTCTGTTTGGCTGCAGCTCCAAGGCTCCTCCTGGCTCACGCTGGCAGTATTTTTAGGATCTGAGGGTTGGATTTTCCTGCAGGATGACCGACAGCTGAGCGGACCAACCCGGTCTGGAGGTTCTGTGTTATGGGTATTTTAAGTGTGTCCTCGGATAAAAATATTCCTGAGGATTGAGTTTCTGTCGGATAACAGAGTGTAAAACTGCCACCAGGCCGACTCTCAGAGGTTAAACTCCAGAACGCAACAACAAATACCTGAACCAGGGCCGGATTTACCATTAGGCAATACGAGGCAGTTGCCAAGGGCCCCAAGTTCCTGGGGGCCCCAATAAAACTCTGTTTATATGTATGGTTAATACAACTATTCCTTATTTGTGCACGTTAATTATGTTTTTGATAAAAAATACTATTGCTAAAATGCCATCAGAACGCTTATAATACTAAGTGCGTCTCAGCCCCCCCCTTCAGTGTCCACCATATTGGATCAGTCCATTTGCTGCACATGTTCAGAAAGGTCCAAACAGACAGCAGCAAACCATTTGAAAACAAACGATGCAAACACGGTGTTGCAAACTTAGAGTTTTTGTCGCTATATTTAGCCACTTTTCAGACCCCTCTAGCACTTTTATTACAAAAAAGCTCCTAGCGACTTTTTTCTGCTACTGGAACCTTTGGTGACAACATCTAAAAGCAGCGAACTCTGCTCTCCAGAGCAAGGAGATTGGTAACCCTGCCTCCTGCTGTCTTCTATCTTGTCTGCTGTCATGATTCATGCAGCTAGAACAGATAAGCAGATCTAATGCAACTGTTTTTGGCATTTACTTAATCATTTTTAGGTACTTTAACACAATTGTTTTATGTCCTACCCTGCTAACATGAAACATTTGTGTTAAAGTAACGAAATATGATTAAGTAAATGCTAAAAATTATTCCATTTTGCTTTTTTTTTCAGTGTAGCGTGTCTACAGTGAAAAGAGGGACTGGGTTATTTACTTTTGCCGTTTTGGAAACACAGGAAGGAGCTTAGTGCTTGGAAAAAATCTTTCATTCCTTTAGAGACAGCATGAAGCTGAGTACACAACATAGAGAGGAGAACAACAAGAAGAGAGGGACAAAATGCAGAATAAATTATAGAATAATCTATTCTATTAACATTTCTGGTTTATGTGTTGTCTTCTCAATTCAGAGGCCCCCTACCTGTCTTTGTCTAGGGCCCCAAATATCCTAAATCCGCCCCTGATCTTAACATAGTCCAAGATCTGCTGGAGAAATAAAGACCAGAAGATCTAGTGACTTCAAACTGGTTCCTGTCAGAAGGAACTCTGCTCTAGATTGGAACTTATGGAGCTCATGGTTCAGGATGATAAACCTGCAGATTCTAGTCTAGAGAACCCAGCAGGCAGATTGGAGATCTTTCCATTGTTGTTATAGAACTTAAGTAAATGTTAAAGTTCTGGATATGCTGGTTCTGTTGGCTGCTTCTAAGTCGTTTCTCTAGGGTTCTTTGAGGTGTTTCAATTTGCTTTTGAATATAAAAGATCCTCACAGATATTCTGTGGAGATGTTTCTGCTTTGACTAATTTCTAAGGGTTTTCCAAAGGCTCAGTTGGCTCTTTGAAGATGGTTTTGTTCTTTCCGATGCAAAGGCAACTTGAGTATTCATCCCAGCATCCAGGATCTTCTGTTTTTTTTTGTTTTTTTTACTCTAAACATGCTGGAATCTTTCAGGGGTAATCTCATAGCTGCTGGTGAAGATTCTCAGTCATCCAGGTCATGTAAAAAAAAGTAAAAACATGTAAAACAAGTAAAAAAAAAAACAATCCACTGGAGTTTGTTTTCAAGTTTGAAGAAGTTTTGCTTCCAATCCAGGAAGCTTTTTCAATTCAAAATGTTGGAAATAGAAATAGGCTAAGAAAAAGCCTTGTTTTGGCTTATTGGCTTATTGAACTTTGTATGTTTTCTAAGCCAAAACAAGACTTTGTTTTTGGTCCTCTCTATAAAACCTGAAACTCAACACTATTTCTGACATTTTGAACTGAAAAAGCTTCCTGGATGGGAAGTAAAACGTATTCAAACTAGGAAACAAAGTCCAGTGGATTGTTTTTTTTAAACTTTTTTTGGAATAATCTCATAGCTGTTTTGAATGTTGGAAGTTGTAAACCTTAGTGACTGATACTGATGTTTCAGGATGTCTAAGATCTTTGCAGGTAATTCTAGATCTTTTGGGAGTTTTCTAAAGTTTCATTGTTAATTAATGTTTTTTTAATGTTTATAAAGCTCTGGATCCTTTAATTGTTTCTGTTCTGAAGCTCTCAGCTGCTCCTCTGGTTTCTTCCAGTCTGTCACTGTTTCCTGCTGCGGATCCAAGTGTCTAATTTTAAATCCAGTCTCATCCCTGAGGAACCCTCTGTTTACTCACTGGGGTCACAGCAGACCAGTTTAGTTTACCTCCACAGCAATCCGTCCCATAACACTCCATGTCTGATTAGTGGTTTGTAACCCGTTAAACCAGTAGGAGGGATTTAAAAAAGCCGAACTGGTGTGAGAAAACCAGCTGGTTAGATTTACTACTGCAGCAGCTGAACTGGGTCCAACTGGTGTCAGCTGCAGAACAAACAGAAAAATCAGAACCGAAGCTCAGCACACGGAAACACACTGATCCTGATTGGATTCCTCTTAGTTTAGGAAAAAGAAGAACGTTTTAGTGAAAGAGGGGAAGAAGTAGAGCGTGTGGTCAGCTGCCTCTGTCATGTGACTGACTGGGTTCTGGTCACATGACTCTCACTGGGTTCTGGTCATGTAATTAGTCTGGAATGAGGCCTGTTGCTCTCTGACAGTCCTCATCTTCTTCTGGGTTTTCTCACCTGTGAGCATTTCTGAGCAGAACCACTAAGTGAAACGGATCAAATGTCAAAGGTTTCTGTTTTGGGGTGAGATCAGAACCTTTCTGGCCTCTGACTGAAAGAGGAGCAGCATCTATTCACTGCTGTCAGAGCAGAGCGTCACACGTAACAAAGGTCGGTTCTGACTGACCTCAGATCAGCTGACAGGCTGAAAATGAAGATCTGCTGGAGCGGGTTTAACGAATCAAATCTACATTTTCTAGACGGAGCAGAATTTAGTGGTTCTGCTCAGGATGTGAACCAAACCCAGGCTTCACAGAGGTTTGGGTTCTGAGAGAAAAACAGATTTTTTTTCCAGTAGTGCCTCCATGAAAGTTTGCTGTGTTCTAAACGGGTCAGTAAGCCACAAACCACTCTGTTGTTTCATTTTTGTTTCTGGAAGGATCAAAGTTTCATTATGGAAGAAACAGTAGAAATGTTTGGATTTGCTTAGTTTCTAAAGAGCCCAGAAGACACTGGTTCCACTGGAGTATTTCCATGGGTTGTAAAGGATCTACTGAGTTCTCCTAAAGTATCCGGAGAGTTCTCCTAAACTATTCAGAGAGTTCTCCTAAAGTATCCGGAGAGTTCTCCTAAACTATTCAGAGAGTTCTCCTAAAGTATCCAGGGAGTCCTGCTAAAGTATACACTGAGTTTTCCTAAAGTATTCAAAGAGTTTTCCTTAATTATCCAGTGAGTTTTCCTGAAGTATCCAATGTGTTCTTCTAAAGTATCCAAAGAGTTATCTTGAAGTACCCAGAGAGTTCTCCTAAAGCTCCCAGAGAGTCCTCCTAAAGCTCCCAGAGAGTTCTCCTAAAGTACCCACTGAGTTCTCCTAAAGTACCCACTGAGTTCTCCTAAAGTACCCACTGAGTTCTCGTAAAGTAT